TCCCCTCCCCTCCCCTCCCCTCGGTCCCAGCCCACCCCATTTACTCTATGTTGCCTACTAGAATGTTCCGTATTGCTTTGTTCCATCAAAAGCAGCATTGGGGAGAGCGGCTGGTCTCGACAGGCAAACCGTTGCTTGCGTGATTACCTTTAAAGAACACTCACAACTGCAGCCCCTCATTGAGGAGCTCATCTACAAAGTCCAACAGGTATTCATCTAGCACGACACCTGGTGGTCGAGTAACAGCTGGTGGTGGCTGAGTGACACCTGGTGGTCGACCACAGCAAGCCGTCGTTAGTGTATGCTGAAGAGTTGCTGGAACGGCTGGCTCTCGTGTGGGGTTAGCTCAGTGGGGCCGTAAGTAAAGTCTAGATGCGGATCCAAGGCGGAGAAGTCGACGCTGAACTTCCCGGCGGCGTGGCTGCACGTGAAGGAAGCGCTTTCGTGCTGGCTGTCTTGGGCTACGTGGTCTCGGGCGGCCGGAGAGAGCCACAAGCGGCTGCGAGGAGTACGTCTAACAGCCGGCCGAGTCAGTCGCTCAGAAGGGGACATCCAGCCGTCGTCGGCGAGGTTGTCAACGGCAGGGGTTACGAGGGTGTCAATTGCGAGGGTCCTGATGTTCTCGGTTCTGAGGTTGTCAGACGCTTTTTCGCGGTTGTAGTAGGAGTCTAGTTGCCGGCACGAGTCGAGTCGGCGGTACGAATCCAGTTGACGGTACGAGTCGAGGGGGCGATAGCCGCCCTGTCTTGCACTACCCTGCTGGCTCACTACGTCATCGTCAACCACCGGTTGGTGTGCAAGCAACGGGTCGGGTCCGCCAAATACCTTGCGCGCCCCCGCGTCCTTTCCAACAACCTTTCTCCTAGCACTCCGCCCGGACGCTCGACCTCCCGCGGCCTTGGTCCGAGAAGAAACCCGACGCGGGAAGATGGAGTAAGACGGCGGTGTGTGTGTAGATAGAGATGGAGCGGACTGGTATCCTGAACTCTCCGACCGGTCGTCTAATAACTCGTCCATCAACGCAGCCGGACCCACCGGACCGCCAACAGGGTCGACCGCTGCACTATTCAAAACCGGGTCGACAGGACCGGTAGGACCGACAGGACCAATTGGGTGGGTCATGACGGGCCCGACCATGCCGGAATCTAATATCGTTGCCGCCATGGGTGACTCGGGTGACTCCATAGTCGGAGTTTCTGCTGACAGGGGGACCTGCTCTGCCGCCTTGTGCTTGTATATAGTGTTCCGTTCGTTTTCTTCGGTGGTGTCTTCACCGTCAAGTGACGCCTCGCTGATCTCGTCGTCTCCCTCGTTCGGGTCGCCTCCCAAACCCGATTCAACGTAATGGCCGTTGCACGACCGCAATTCGTTAGATTCGTCGGACGAGGGTAGGTCGTCCATATAAACCTTTGAGTGCGTGCACACACTATTGCCCTGGCCATTGCGCCAGTCACTGCGCAAATTACTACGTGCGCGACTGTTAACGCGACTGCCAGCGCGGCTACGGTAATGATGGATGTCGGGGCAGTGACTAGGTCCGCGTTCAGCACACTCCCGGGAGTGATGGGAGCACGAACGGAGTTGGTCGGTGCGGGGCAGACCCTCGTTTTCGCTGTGGTGACGAGACTGGTGAAAGCGACCTCGGGTTTTGTAGCGGCCTGAATACGAGGAGGAGTCGCCACTTTGCAGACAACAATCGCTGAGGTAGCGGTACGACGGAATATATTCTCCTCCAATCGAAACAGAGACTTTTCCACTGGAGGGCTCTTCACTTGAAGGGGTTCCGCTACAACCGGCGTCCCCCGAAGGGTGTCTACTTGACGGTTCACTGATCATGTTTTCGTCTTCAACTAATGATCCAGTATACTGCGAGCTCAGCACAGAAATCGAAGCATCCTCCTCTGACACTCTTCTATCAAGTTGCCCATCCAGTATAGAGCTCACGGCTGTGCAACTGACGGCAGCACAACTCATGGCAGTACCAGCCATGGGTTTACATCTGACGTCATCTTCACTATCCAAATAGTCACTGTCGTGAGCGATGTCGTGAACGATGTCGTGAGCGATGTCGTGAGCATCATTGTCCGGCTCGTGGTTATTTATAAGTTCTTGACTGGATGTGCTTATCTCTGTAACGGCC